TACAAATCAACAGCTGCTCAGTGAGCTGTCCTGTTCTCTGACCTTATCAGAAGTCTGTGTTTGGATCCCAGAATGCAGTGTGCAGAAAGCAATTTTAAGGGCCCATTGTGCCGTATAAGGGTTCCAGGCCGATGTGATTAGGTGTGCTGATGGGTGAGTTTGGTTGAATATTGTTCTTCTCTACTACCAGTCTGAGAATTTATGCATCTGGTGGCATGCAGCAGAGCAAGAGGGAAATCCATTCTGCCATCACCACGTTCCTTTGTTTTCTATCCAATTCACTTTTAATGGCTTCCTTAGGAACACAAATGCCATGTCTAGGTTCAGGGTATGCAGAGCATGTTGGATGATGGACTTATTGAATGTGCTAGACCATCTGGTACTATTTTCTACTTTTGATTAAGCTCAGAGTTGTAGTTAACATTTTGTATATGGTTGTGGCTATCTGAAGTTTCAGCACGGTGTGTTTAGTGCCCTGGTTCACCAGCAGCTTCACTGGCAGAAAGCAGCAGAAGGAGAGGATGAGAGTGTTGCTCTGTGGGTAACTGTGTGTCCCTTCAAGTGGACAGCACTTGCCAACGTCCACACTGAGAACCATGCCAGAGCTGCAAGTGGGCCTTGAGGATGCTTAGGAATGACTGGATGTCCAGTAAAGGGACCATAAAACGTGCTTTGTGTTTTGAGAAAAGAAAGTAGAAAATCAGTTGACAATATGTATTTGTAGCTGACATTTCAAAATTAGATCATGAAAATTGAGTTTGAATATAAATGTTGAATCTTACCAAGAGGAGGAATTTGAGTTAAAAACATACAACCCACTGTACTCATGATACTCTGAGAGAGATGTGTGATCAGACAGGGGTGAGCATGTATGCATGCATACATATAGGTATATTAATAAGTACAGGCAATAGTTACCTATATATTTAAATGTTTATATACAAAAACACCCAAATTTCTAAACAAGGAGCTTTAAATATATACCTAAAAGCTAGTAGATGTTTTTCTGCTTCCTCTATAGGATGCTTCAGGGCTTAGGTTTCAAGGGATGGATGGTTCCTTATAAGGATAACACTGAAAGTGAAACATTTTGGCAACTTAAGCTCTTGAAAGATGTGTGCTCTCATTTGTGAGCATGATACCTTCTAAAATTCATTGTTGGAGGATATTAAATAGTGGATCTAGGAGCAAAAGTGACAGTGGCCATTTGACCAACCGTGTTTATCCTAGGCAGAAGATGTGGGAGACCAGAAAGAGATCTTGGCTCACCATGTGGGCAGTAGAAAATGACCTCATAGTTGGAGACTTGGACCTAAGGCTCCCAGAACTGCCCAAGGAGCTCAAAGAAGCCAGTTTTGGACACAACAGAACCTTTGTGTCCATATTTTGCTTGGGACTGTCTGAAGAAATATGTTTTATAATGCATTCTAGTGCATGCATGTGTATATATGATGAAAGTATGTTTTAGAAACAATTCTTATGCGTAAGGATATCAGACATTTTAAAATAATGATTTCACCCTCTTAATTTTAGTTTGTGATCACACCAGCGATCACAGCAGCCAGGAAACACTGTTCTTGTGTACATAGCATTGTGAGTGCATTGCTGTTCACGCCAAACCACGCCTGTGCCTTGTTGCCTCTCATTAGATTATTTCAGTTCTTTAATGATTGGTATCTGCTGACTATAGAAAGTTCTTGACACAGAATGCTATAGGCTTTTCTGGGACTCTTTCTATCCAAAATGAATTTCCAGGTTCAACTCAAAGCCCCTGCAGATGATATCCAAGAGCGTTGCTGATTCCTGTCCATGGGCTTGGTCATAGGGACCTCCTGCCCTTTCCCTGGGGATTGTGCTGCTTTGTTCATGTTGTCTTTATAATTTGTAAGCAGTTTATAAAAGGAGGGCCAAGGAAGAAGAGGGAAATCAAGTGGGGACAGAGAAAGTGGCCCTGTCAGTGATGGATTCAGTGTGGTCAAAGTGGTAGCATTCCAGAAAAGTCCTGTCCTCACCTGTTGTCTGTATTAGTTACTTTCCATGTTGCTGTTGTAAAATACATGACAGAAGCACTTAAGGATTTGTTTTGGCTCACCGTGATCCATCATGGCAGGAAAGGCCTAGTAATAAGCATGGCTGGAGCAACGAGGCACTTTCTCCTTGTTACTCAGCCTGGGACCACAGCCTGTGAGGTGCTGCCACCCACATTCAGGGTAGGTCTTCCCCCCTCAGTTAAACCTTCTGGAAATGTCATCAAAGACATACCTAGACGTTTTTCTCCTTGGTGGTTCTAAGTCTCATCAAATTGACCATCAAGATTAGGATCACACTGTTTAAGTTTACTCTTGCTATCAGTACACTGTCACCAGGGATGAGAAGACATCAAATATCCCTGAAATCTTATTTATATCTTGCATATGGGTACCTGGTTCAGAACCTAAACAGGTATCTGTAAGCAGTGCTTATACTCTATAACTTTTGCTGTTATTTATTCTGCTTTTTTGTATGGAATTGTTACAAACTTAGTCAACTGAAGCAGCATGCGTGTTGTGTTGCCTCACGTTGTCTGTAGTTCCTAAGTGTGAACACAGCAAAAGTAGGTTTTCTACTCATGTCATACAAGGCTGAAGTTAAGAGCTTGGTTCAGTTGTGTTCTCATCTGCAGCTTGCAGTTCTTCAGGCTCTTTATGGCCATTCACAGGATTCAGTGCCTCAAGGCTGTAGGCTTGAGGCTCAGTGCCAAGGACCAGCATGCATTCCTAAGCCACTTGGCTCTCTTGTGCAGGTGTAGTTCCTCTTCAAAGCCAGCAGGAGAATCTGAAGCCTGCCATGGCAAGGTCTTTTATTTCACATTGTCTTACTCTTCAGTGGACTTTGTAGTGACCATTCCATTTTGTTTAGGGGACCCTGAAGAGGAAGGAATCATGTAGGCAAACACACCAGAGTGAGAATCTTAGGGCCGTTTTGCATTCTACCTGCAACACTATTGTATATACTATGAATTTAGCATAATTTTTAAGAATGCTTATCTTGGAGCTGGAGAGATGGCTCACTGGTAAGAGCACTTGCTGCTCTTCCAGAGGACCTGGGTTTGATTCTCAGCACCGACATGGCAACTAACAACCATCCATCTTAACTCCAGTTCCAGAGGATCTGACACCCTCTTCTGACCTCCTTGGGCACTGTACAACATGGGTGTACTTACATACATGCAGGCAATACACTCATACAAATAAAATAAAAATAATAAAATATTTTTTAAAAAGAATGCTAATCTTTGTAAATCCACGATAGGAACCAGACCCATCTCTTTAGTTTACACTTAACTGATTTCCATCCCCCCAACAGCAGGAATCCTGTTTTTGCCTTGAGTGCTCCTTTCCCCTCCCATACCCATAAGCATATCCACATAGACGCTGTGTTTGACATTACTTACCCAGGAGTGCTGTGATGGTTGGGGATGTTTGTGCAGGCTCTTGTTAATTCAGCCCTGGTCCTGGTCACTGGGATCCCTCATATCATATGTTTCCTTCTTTCTCATCCTGTCCTTGAGCACTGTTTGTTTTCCCATTGCTGTGATAAAATACTCCAATGAGAAAAGGTTTATTTAACTCACATTCCAGATTATAGTCCATCATTGCCAAGAAGTCATGGCAGCAGGAGCTCACAACAGCCAGTCACATCACATCCATAGTCAGGACACAGAGAGTGTCAGATTACATGCAGATATCTGCTCAGCTACCTATCCTCTTTTTTACCCAGTCATTGATCCCCTGCCCAGGAAATGGTCCTGCCCACAGTTAAGATAGGACTTCCCACATCAGTTCATATAATCAAAGTAATCCCCCACAGACATGCCCAGAGACCTATTTCCCAAGTGATCCTAAATTTTGTTGAGTTGACCATTAACACTAACCGTCACAAGCGCTTTGCTCCAGCATGCTGCTGCGAGGCCTGTGGCCCAAGGACTGCAGGAAGAATGCCCTCAATCCCAAACATTGAGGCCTTTGTGCTGGCTCAGGCCACTTGTGGCCCAAAACCCCTGTTTAAAATAATATTACCCATGACTCTCCTCCCTCTGTCCCCAACTTCCTGTGCTTGCTTTGTTTTTGACTTAGGTAGAACTTTCTACCATTAAACAGAGTTCCTGTTTTTTTTTTTCTTATTTATCATTTGCATCTTTCTTATAAACAAAGCTCCTGCTTCTCTGGGTTTGATTGCTCCATTCCCAGCACCCAGAATGAAGCTCGCTCCTAGTAGCTCTTCAGTGCTTGTTGGAGGCCAGGGTGCTTGGATTATGAGAATCAGCATTTTTATTTTATTAATTAAAAATATTTTCTTTATTATTTTATTTTATGTGTGTGTGTGTTTCCTGTAAGTATGTAAGTGCAGCCAGTGCTTTTAACTGCTGAGCCATCTCTCCAGCCACTATTTTTATTTATATTTTAAAAAATTTAATGTATGTGAGTGTTTTGCCTGCATGTATGTAAGTGCACTTGTGTGTACAATGCCCATAGAGGCCAGAAGAGGGCATCAGATCCCCAGAATTGTATTCACAGTTGTTAGCCACCATGTGGGTCAGTGCTCTTAACCATTGAGCCATCTCTCCAGCCTCATTAGAAGCATTTTTATTTTTTAAATTCTTTTGGTCTTTTTGAGACAGGGTCTCTCTGTAGCCCCAGTTTTCCTGGAGCTCACTATGTAGGCCAGGCTGGCCTCGAACTTAGAGATCTGCCTGCCTCTGCCTCCCGAGTGCTGGGATCAATGCATGTGCCACCACAACCAGCTTTCAGAAGTTAGCACCTGTCTGTTAATCCTACTTTGGTATGGGATGTGGTAGTTTTAATGCCTTCTCTGGTCCTGAGGGACTCTGTCCTGAAGGAATCTATGATGGTCTTTCCTCCTAGGAATGCTTATACTCAAATCTGGCTGGGACTACATGATGAGACCCATCACTGTTTTTGACTCAGAATTGTGACCAACCTGTGTCTTCTGTCCTGCAGATGCCGCTCCTATGAAGATTGCTGTGGTTCCAGGTGCTGTGTCCGGGCCCTCTCTATACAGAGACTGTGGTATTTTTGGTATGTTTCAAGTATTTCTTTTATTTTTTAAAAAAATGTATTGAATATTGAATTTTTGTGAGTTTCATACAATATAATTTGATGGTATTTAGATCCCCTTCCCCAACTATACCTCCCCCAACTGTCCCATGCCTAATTCAATATAGTCCACTATATATACAATGTGGCCTATAGAGTCCGATTTGTGAACCCACATGTCCCTCAGCATGGGTCCATCCACTGGAGCCTGGTCAACCTACCAAGAGAACTAATCCCTGTAAGAGGATCCCATGCACTTCCCCATGTCTATGCTGGGATTTTTCTGGTTTGAGCTTGTTGGGACTTATGCATTCTATCACCATTGGTTTTGAGTTTATATGAGTAATTGACCAGCTGTCTGGAAAACTCTGTTTTCTTGTGGTCATCCACCACCTCTGGCTCTTACAATATTTCCTGTCCTCTTCCAAAATGATCCCTGATCCTTAGGTGGCAGAAGTTTGAAATAGGTGACCTATTCAGAGATAGAGAACTCTGCAGCCTCTTATTCTCTGCGTATTGGCCAGCTGTGGGTTTCTGTGTTAATCACCATCTGCTGCATAAGGAAACCTCTCACATGTGTAGAGGTTGCATTGAAAATGTGTCACTAGGGCTAAGCATTTCACAGACAATTATTCTCTGCATTTGATCAGTTGTGTAACTGTAATAATCTCCATCTGCTGCAACACCAAGCTTCTTTGATGAGTGATTAGAGGCACATTTGTATGTAAACATAAGGATGCATATTTAGAATACAGTAGGAAAATATGTTGGTCTACAGATGTGATTTTCTCTAAAATCTATGACCTCTCCAGCCATGTGTGCTTGGCTACGTTTACAGTACCATCCGTGCGTTCCGTGCCATTGAGCAGGCCTTAGTTTCGATTAGACAACTGTTGATTACCCCCAAGATAAAAATGCCACTACTGTACCAATAGCAATAGTTTGCTGGGACAGTCATAGTTGTTTATTGTGCTTTACAGCTGGGTAGGACCATTGACTGGTTTTCTCCCTTGGTAGCTTGTATAGATAGTATCCTCTAATACCATGAGAACTAGTCTTCAGGGAAGAGGCTTCCAGGTCAGTTCCACCTTGATTGTGCCAAGTCCTGTGTTCAAAGTATGACCTATCTTCAGCAGTAGGGTCTTACCTTCAAGTTCTGGGAGGGTTTTTTTTTTTTTGAGAGAGAGTCTCTTAGACTGCCCTGACCAACAACTTGAAGGGAGGCTTCTCCTGCCTAACACTGTTTTCTGTTACACAGCCTTCAGATACACACACACACACACGTGTGTGTGTGTGTGTGTGTGTGTGTGTGTGTGTATGTGTATTTTTCACTAGGCCTTTGAACCAATACATTTCCCTCTGTTTTTTCTTACCCTCTAAGCATTATTTCTCTCTCTCCTTAACTCCCCCTATATAACACTCCCTACTCCCTCTCCCCAGTTAAACTACCCTTCTTTCCCCCATTTCTCTTTGATAACACCTGTCTCTATAATGTTCTGAATCTTTTTGGTGTTTGTTGTGATATTTCCCCTTTTGTCTCTGATTTTGTTGATTTGGATTTGCTTTTTCTTTCTTTTGGTTAACTGGACTAAGGGTCTGTTTGTTTTGTTTATTTTTCAAAGAATACGCTCTGAGATTTATCGAGTCTTTGTATTGTTTTCTGTTTTTATTCCATTGATTTCTGCCATGATTTTTGTTATGTCTTCTCATCTGCTGGGTTTGGATTTGGTTTGTTCTTGCCTTTCCAGATTCTTGAGTTGTACCATTGTTTGTTACCATTCATTTGTGCTCTTTCTGATTTTTTAATATAGGTGCTTTAGAGCTATAAACTTCTCTCTTAGGACTGTTTTTAATGTGTCCAAGAGGGTTTGTTGTGTTCTGTTATCATTTTCATTTAATCCCAGGAATGCTTTTATTTCTTTCTTGATTTCTTCTTTGACCCATTCTTTATTCAGGAGTGCTGTTTAATCTCCATGAGTTTGTGTAGTTGCTAGAGCTTCTTTTGCTGTTGATTTTAAGCTTTATTGCATTGTGGTCTGATAGAATGCATAGAATTATTTCATTTTTTTTTATTTGTTGAGGTTTATTTTGTACCCTAGTATGTGGCCAATTTTAGAGAAACTTCTGTGGGCGGCTGGGTAGAATATATATTCTTTGGTGCTTGGGTGGAATATTGGTTAGGCTCATTTGGTGTATGATACCATTTAATTCAGATGTTTCTCTGTTTATTCTTTTTCTAGTTGACCTGCCCATTATAGAGAGTAGGGTGTTGAACTCACCTCCTGTTTCTGGCTTTGGGTTAATCTGTGTCTTAAAGTTCTATAGTACTGTTTTTATGAAGTTGGGTGCACCAGGGTTTGCTGCATATGTATTCATGACTGTAATGTTTCCTTGGTCAGTTGTTCCCTTGATCAGAATGAAGTGACCTTCTTTATCCATTGTGATTCATTTAATTTGAAGTCTACAATGTTAGATTTTAGAATCTCAATGCCTACCTTTTTTGGTGCCATTTGCTTGGAATATTTTTTCCATCCTTTCACCCTAAGGTAGTGCTCATCCTTCAAGGTGAAATGAGTTTCTTATAGACAACAAAAGATGGATTTTGTTTCTTGACCCATCCAGCTAGTCTGTGTCTTTTGACTAGGGAGTTGAGGCCATTGATATTTAAAGTTATTATTGAAAAATGTGTATTGGTTACTATTGTTTTAGTTTCTGTTTGTGTTTTGATCCTGTTTTGTGTTTCTGTCATTATACCTTAGTTTCTTTTCTTTCTGTAGCCTCTTGGTTATGGTTATTACTTTCTTTAGTCCTTTGTATTGCTTTGAGTATTCTCTATAGTGCTGATTTGGTGGACATGAAATTTATTTGTATCATGAGAGATTTTTCTTTCCCCTTTGACTATGACAGACCATTTTTCTGGGTGAAGTATCATTTAGAACTTGGAATACTTTGCTCCAGGTTCTTTTGGCTTTTGTAATTTGCATTGAAAAGTCAGCTGCAATTTGATGGGTTTTCCTTTATATGTTACTTGTCTTTCTTTTATAGTTTTTGGTATTTGTTCTGTGAATTTAGTGTTTTCACTATGATATGCTGCTCAGGTCCATTTGATGTTCTATGTTCTTCTTGTATCTGTATGGGTATTTCTTTCCTAATTTAGGGAAATTTTCTTGTATAATCTTATTGAAAATCTGATCATTGTCATTGATATGAAATTCTTCTCCTTCCTCTATACCTGTGACGTATAGATTTGATTTTTTCATAGTGTTCCACATTTTCTGCACATTCCATTCCTGTGTTTTAAATTTTCTTTCATATTCTTTGCCTGAGCAGTCCAGTTTTTCAACTTTATTGTTTAGTCTTGATATTCCATTTTCCATTTCATTCATTCTATTGGTGAGGCTTTTCCTGTCATTTCAAATAGGCTTATTTAGTTTTTTAATTCTGTCTTCTTTTCAGCTCAAGTTTTCTTCAGTATTTCTATTTCTTTTTTGAATTCACTTTTTAAACCCTGAACTGTCTTTGTTATTTCATTCTTCCATGTTTTTGTGTTTTCTTGAACTTTAGTCGGAGTTTACCTCTGAGTTCTTTGAGTTGTTTGTGTGTTCTGTAAATTAATTGAATTCCTTGATCATGCTTATGACTGTTTTTTTAAATTCTGTGTCTTGCTGGGTGTGGTGGTGCATGCCTTTAATTCCAGCCCTCGGGAGGCAGAGGCAGGCAGATCTCTGTGAGTTCCAGGCCAGCCTGGTCTACATAGTGAGTTCCAGGCCAGCTGGGGCTACAAGGAGACCCTGCATCGAAAAGACCAAAAAAAAAAAAAAAAAAAAGAATTCTGTGTCCTGGGATTCCTCTAGGTAGTTCTCATTGTAGAGCACTTCTATAGGACTGATGGGGTTTGGTAGGGACATATTGTTTTATTTTTCATATTATTTGTGTTTTTTCATTGTGGTCTGGGTATATGGATTTCTTTTGTTGGTTTTGTGTCTGATATGAAACTCTGGCCTGCCTCCAAGACGTTCATGGTGCCAGATGAAGTCCATCAAATTGTACCTTGAGAGAGGGTGGGGTGCAGAGTTTTCCTTCAGAGTAGCCTTGTGAAGGTCGTAGTCCTCAGAGAAGCCCCTTGGTAGTTTCTGTGAATACATTTGACTGTGTGATTAATAGGTGTTCTTTCATGGGATGGCACGGCACTGTGAAAAGGATTTCTGTAAAATCCACTGAGTGTTCCTTGAACTCATCTCCTTGATTACATATGGGGATCATGTACTAAGGGTTAAGTCTTCACACTCTTCCTGGCTTAAGCTTCTCTGTGACTCTTCTGATGTAACATTTAAAACCTCACTGAGAATGTCACAGTAGCCATTTGAATTGTTTTGTGAGATTTTGTCTTTTCTCTCTCTACAACTGTTTACAGTGTCTGATGAAGGAAATCAACCGGGGAGGTGGGGACTCCAAGTGTTGAATCACAGGAGATTTTCCTTAATCACATTGCCTGCCTTTACCATTGCCAGCTCCTTGATCTGGTTTTGGGCCCTTGGGGGTTGAGCATCCCCTATCCCCTTGGCCCCAGGCCAGGCCTCCCTTAGAACCAAGCACAGATAGCCATGCCTAGATGTGTGCACCCTCTGAGCAAAGAGTGCTGGTGTTCTGCACCCCCCAGACTATCTGGGCTCTTTAAGGTAGGTGAATTAGAACATTCAGAGAATCAGAAAGATAAAATAAGGTTTGAACAAAGCATGTGAAACATTGATGTGCCATGAAAAGACCGACTCTTCAGATCGTGGACACAAATAAGAGGGAGGCACCTCATGCTAAAGGCATATGGAACGTATTGGGTGAACTTAGAAAGTGCTCCAAATCTAGGCAAAGAGATAGTCATCTAGACTCAGGACCACTCTGAATGCCAAACAGATATTCAGCAGCAAACAGCCCAGAAAAAAATCAGCAGTGTCACATTATAGTTAAAATACTGTGTCCAGAGC